TCAATGGTGTCACTGGGCTCCACTTCAAGGGTGATGGTTTTGCCAGTGAGGGTCTTGACAAAGATCTGCATTTTTAACCTACACACAAAATCATACAGGGAGATATTTTTATAAAACTACAAAAAAAACAACAAAAAACAATATATTTTAAAGTGAAACAACGAATGTAGAATAACCTAATCAAATAGGTAACGTTTTATCATGAGAATTAATCTGCGACTGTCGACTGAAATTTACTTGGCAACCACTTCAGCTCCAGCGCCATTTTGAGCTCACAATGACCTCCCTTTGTCAGTGGTTGCCCGCTAATGGCCGACGGGAGAAGTGTTGAGTCATTGCTGCATTCAACTGGTACGCATTACTTGAGCGTCCGATAAACCACCGGTTAAAAAAAGGTAACATAAAACGTAAAGATTTTAAAAAGGAAAAATAAAAACGCCTCGAACGTTTTTAAATGTTACACGCTATTAAAAAAAAAAAAAAAAAGTGTCTCAAGGTTTCATTAACACTTCAAGTTAATTGAGGAACTCAACAGAAATAAAGGTTTCTTTAAAAGTAAAGATACTTACGATTTAACGATGCTTTAACAAGCTTCTTCACGTACAGTACTAGTTCTCCACGCTGGCTTCAAATAATGCCGCAGTATGGCGCGGGAGACTTTTATATGCATTGCTAGACGTCGTCAGTTAATATCCATCCGCATATAAAGTAGTTCCTACACCAAGAAATTCAGAATTTTTAACATAAATAAATTGGAATTTTACACGGTAATTCCTTACAGTTAAAAATATGACATTTAATTTACTATTTACATTTGTTGTCAAAGCTTAATGTGATGGATCCGTGATTTTCTAACAAAACCGACAACTTGGCGGAGGGATATTTTAGCTACACTGCGGCCTTTCTGTAGAATTTGCCAGAACCCTCACCGCAACCCGATCCTTCTCGGAAGCTTCTGATTGGCTAACACAGTTGTTTGTTTGACTAGCGATTGGTTGCTGAGTTACAGTCAGTAAGGTAGGATGACTAAGTTATTTTCATGTTGATGGAGGATTTATCAGAATTTTTAAAGGATTTTATCGAACCCTGAACAAAAAAAAACAACTTACAGCTGTTACATATCTTAACTGTAATGACTGTCAAGGACCCCATTCTCTGTTTTACAATATAAAAATCAGTGTATGTACCGTATGTATGTAAGCTGAATGCACTTTTGGCAATCACTTTTGAGACTGTCAATCTTGTTAGTCTTGCTCAACAAATAGTACCAGATGATAATGTGACTGCTGTCAGCTACTTTCTAAAAATACATATTTACTTTTTTACTTACTGCCTCAAATGTATACATTAATGATTTACTGTAAAACCGTCTGAAACTTTCACATTGTAATCAAATAAACAAAAATTACTGACTGTGTGTGAGTACATAAAATTAGGCCTTGTAATCTTAGATCTTAGAATTTTAGAATCACCTCCCCCTTAAAGAAAACTCAATAGTTAAAAGAGAAATTTTAAGAAGGATTTTTCTTTTTCTTATTTTAAATTAAACCACTGTGTCACCACTGAAAATATGGCCATATATTAGAATGTTTAAAGTCAGACAAGTTTGTCCCCTTTCTCTTTATCACATACATGGGCAATATAAGGCCCGAGGGCCGAAAGTTGCCCTTGGACAATCGCCTTCTGGCCCCCACATTTTTAGTTGAAAGAAAACTTTTAAGTCAGTTGATGAAAAACAGCATTTTATCAATGAAACTTAAGGAAGTTTAAATTAAACATCTTAGACACAAACATCAAAAACCTTTCGATTAAGATAGGCTAAGTTCCTTTTGCTTCAGGGGTCACACAAACGCCCATGAAAGATTTGGCAATTTGTTTTACGTCGGACTGAACTTTAAAAACTTCAAAATAGTTATTCTTATATATTTAGGCTAACTAATATATTTTCACAAGAACCAGAAAATGTCATATTGCTATTGTAGGAACTACGTTTATATGCGGATGAAGGCATATTTTCTATCAAGCATGTTAAATATTCTACAACAGAAAAAAAAACTTGAAAAAACTCTTGCAGATTATCTGTTTTAAATCAAATTTATTTAGCAATTCTCTATGTAACACTACAGCTGGTCTAAATATCTTGATTTGGCCTTCAGAAACCTCGGTGTTATGTTCGACCAGTCCATGTCTTTGGACAAACATTCAAAGCTTCTGGTAAAAAACTGCTTTTATCATCTGAGAAACATTTCTAAACTGAGGGCAATGTTATCCAGATCTGACCTGGAGATGATTATTCATGCTTTTATTTCTTCTCGTTTAGATTATTGTAATTCCCTTTTTACTTGTTTTAACAAAACTGCCGTCGCTCGACTCCAGTTGGTCCAGAACGCTGCTGCAAGGCTTTTAACAGGAACTAATAGAAGGGCTCACATTACACAAATTTTATCTTCTCTTCATTGGCTGCCTGTTGAATTTAGAATTAATTTTAAAATCTTAGTTTTGACTTTTAGAGCTTTAAATGGACAGGCCCCCCAGTACATCACTGAAATGTTGATTCCTTATTCTCCAGCCCGCTCCCTTCGGTCTTCAGCGCTGAACCTTCTTAAGGTTCCTAAGACCCGGTTTAAAACTCGGGGTGACCTGTCCTTTCAGGCCGTAGCCCCCCGGCTGTGGAATGCCCTGCCCCTGTCTCTTCGTGTGACCGTCTGTTGATTCTTTTAAAACGCAGCTTAAGACATTTTTATTTCGACAAGCTTTTAGTTAAATGTTTTACTGTTTTTACCAGCTGTTTTTACTGTTTTTATTAATGAGCTGTTATTATTTTTGTTTTATTTTAAGCCTTTATTTCTTTATTGTTGTACAGCACTTTGTGATTGTATCTATGATAAGTGCTATATAAATAAAGTTTACTTACTTACTTACTCCCGGTGGGACGTGTCCGGAACGCCTCACCAGGGAGGCGTCCAGGAGGCATCCTAACCAGATGCCCGAGCCACCTCAACTGGCTCCTCTCAACGTGGAGAAACAGCGGCTCTACTCTGAGTCCGTCCAGGATGACTGAGCTTCTCACCCTGTCTCTAAGGGAGAGCCCAGACACCCTGCGGAGAAAACTAATTTCGGCCGCTTGTATCCGAGATCTCGTTCTTTCGGTCACAACCCAAAGCTCATGACCATAGATGAGGGTAGGAACGTAGATCGATCAGTAAATTGAGAGCTTCGCCTTTTGACTCAGCTCTCTCTTCACCAAGACAGACCTGTACAGCGCCCGCTTCACTACAGACGCTGCACCTATCCGCCTATCGATCTCATGCTCCATTTTTTCCCTCATTTGTGAAAAACACCCCAAGATACTTGAACTCCTCCACTTGGGGCAGGGCCTCCTTCCTGACCCGGAGAGGGCACTCTACCCTTTTCCGGCTCTAGACCATGGCCTCGGATTTAGAGGAACCGATCTTCATCCCGGCCGTGTCGCACTCAGCTGCGAACCGCTCCATCGAAAGCTGTAGATCACGATCTCATGAAGCCAATAGGACCATATCATCTGCAAAAAGCAGAGACTCGATCCTAAGGCCACAAAAACGGATCCCCTCCGCACGTTGGCTGCGCCTAGAAATTCTGTCCATAAAAGTTATGAACAGAATCGGTGACAAAGGGCAGCCTTGGCGGAGTCCAACTCTCACTGGGAACAAGCCCGACTTACTGCCGGCAATGTGGACCAGGCTCTGACATCAGTCATACAGGGACCTAACAGCCCGTATCAAAGGGCCCGGTACCCCATACTCCCAGAGTAGCCCCCACAAGGTTCCCCAAGGGATGCGGTCGAACGCCTTCTCCAAGTTCACAAAGCACATGTAGATCAGTTGGGCAAACTCCCACGCACCCCCCAGGACCCTGCTGAGAATGTACAGCTGGTCCAGTGTTCCATGACCAGGACGAAAACCACACTGCTCCTCCTGAATCCGAGGTTCGACTATCTGACAGACCCTCCTCTCTAGAACCCCCGAATAAACCTTACCAGGGAGGCTTAAGAGCGTGATCCCCCTGTAGTTGGAATACACTCTATGGTCCCCCTTTTTGAATAGGGGGACCACCACCCCAGTCTGCCAATCCAGGGGAACTTCCCCCGATGTCCACGCAATATTGCAGAGTCGTGTAAGCCAACACAACCCTACAACATCCAGAGCCTTAAGGAACTACGGACGAATCTCATCCACCCCTTGGGCCCTGCCACCGAGGAGCTTTTTAACCACCTTGGTGACCTCAGCACCAGAGATTGGAGGGCCCGACCCAGTGTCCCCAGGCTCAGCTTCCTCAGTGGAAGACGTGCCGGTGGGATTGAGGAGGTCTTCAAAGTATTCTGCCCACTGACCCACTATAAGCAGCACACCACTCCCACTATAAACAGTGTTGGTGGTGTACCGCTTTCCCCCCCTGAGACGCCGGATGGTGGACCAGAATTTCTTTGAAGCCGTGCGGAAGTCATTCTCCATGTCCTCTCCGAACTCCTCCCATGCCCGAGTTTTTGCCTCAGCCACCACCCGAGCCACATGCCGCTTCGACTGCCGGTACCCATCAGCTGCTTCCAGGGTCCCACAGGCCAAAAAGGCCCAATAGGACTCCTTCTTCAGCCTGACAGCATCCCTCACTGCCGGTGTCCACCACCGGGTTCGAGGGTTGCCGCCGTGACAGGCACGACAACCTTGCAGCCGCAGCTCCAGTAAGCCGCCTCGACAATAGAGGCACGAAATATGGCCCACTCGGATTCGATGTCCCCCACCTCCCCCGGAATATGTTCAAAGTTCTCCCGGAGGTGGAAGTTCAAGCTCCGTTTCACAGGAGACTCTGCCAGATGTTCCCAGCAAACCCTCACAATACGTTTGGGCCTGCCAGGTCTGACCAGCATCCTCCCCCATCGTTGGAGCCAACTTGCCACCTGGTAGTGATCAGTGGACAGCTCCGCCCCCTCTTCACCCGAGTGTCCAAGACATGTGGCCGCAGATCAGATGAGACGACAACAAAGTCGATCATCGAACTGCGGTCTAGGGTGTCCTGGTGCCAAGAGCACATATGGACACCCTTATCCTTGAACATGGTGTTCGTTATGGACAATCCATGACAAGCACAGAAGTCCAACAACAGAACACCACTCTGGTTCAGATCAGGGGGGCCGTTCCTCCCAACCCCACCCCTCCAGGTCTCACTGTCATTGCCCACGTGAGCATTGAAGTCCCCCAGCGGAACAAGGGAGTCCCCAGGTGGTGCACTTTCCAGTACCCCCTCCAAGGATTCCAAAAAGGGTGGATAATCTGAACTGCCGTTTGGTGCATAAGCACAAACGACAGTCAGAACCCGTCCCCCCACACATAGGTGGAGGGAGGCCACCCTCTCATTCACCGGGGTGAACCCCAACACACAGGCACTAAGATGGGGGGGGGGGG